AAAAAAAAAAAAAAAAAAAAAAAAAGAGAAATAGTAGTAACAAGTTCAGTATAACCAAAAACCCAAAAATCTGATGGGCTTCTGGAAAAATAACCAAGGTCTATAAAATAACAAGACAAGAATCTTTTGACTCCATAGGGACTGTGGAAAGCACGAACATTGCTGAAATATTTGATGTTCAAATGCAGCTAAAAGCAGCTTCAAAGTGTTTTTTGGCTGGATTGTAAAATCTCACCATAATATACAACAGATTTGATGACGCTGAAGTCTGCATCCACCAAAGTCCATCCATCAAACATCATTTATTCCGGATTGATCAAGTGTAATATCCCTAGCACAATAAGAAAAATGAACTTTGGAGCAAGAACAGAACCAAACTGGCACATGTTCCTTCACAGAAGTTAGTACTGATGAGTGAAATGAAGTGGGGTAACACTGGCTGGACAAGAAAGAAGGTACTGGGCACAACATATTTTGGGTGTAGGTGAAGACATGTAAAACTATAACGTCAAGAAGGAAGAGGAAATAGTTCTGAAGGCTGTTTTGGTGTTGGGAATGTCTTACTTACCTACTCCTCAGAACTCATGTACAGTGTGAGAAGCCATGGAACTAAAAAGAACTTATTTTGTTCCTTATAGAAAGGCAAACAAGAGGGGTAGTTTTTATGAATGAATGCATGAAGACCTGAGACAGGAATTCAGAATAAGTTACACTGAAAGAAACCGAAAAACGGGAATGCTACAGAATAAGTTGCCATGAACTCATTTGTATAGAACTGCAGGAGAAAAAATCAGAATCCAAGATGATTGTGGATACTGGAGGTGCCTAGCATAAGAAAAAAAACTACTTTTGGGCATCTAATAATAATGAAGTGATGCTGACTCACAGTACAAAGTTGGAAGTCCCTAAAAAAGACAATAGAGAAATATATGACATCAGTCAGGAATTAGGTAGTGAAATACTTTTCAAGAAAACAAAATACAAGATCTGCTAAAAAAAGAACATAAACAGTTTAATATAGTTGCTGAGGCAATGGATTTTTTTAAAAAATCCCACATGCTGAACTGTCCTGAAGACAATAAGACCAACACCTGTTGGGAGGAAGGCAGTTCAATTTCTAGATAATTCCTTATCTGGTGAAAAGTCTCCATTTCAAAAGTTTGACACCTCTGCAGGTAAAGTGCCTGTGCTGTGCATGACTTTCCTGCTACTGCAGGTATCAATACCTGTGAAGTCTTGCCTTTGCTAGGAGGGATCACTTCACTCCTATTGTATGACTTCTACTTATGATACCTCTGCAAGCCCATATGATCATTTTACTCCAGCCCACAGCTGGCATTGGCAAAGCAGCCCAGCTGGCACATAAACTTTCATGCTTATTCCTCAGAAAGGTCTCTGTATGTGCTTTTCTTAACTTCTTAACAGAACTGAGAGAAACCTGAATATCTGTAAATAAGCTATCTTCTTAGAGATATAAAGAAATTTTGCAGACTCTAAACAATTTGATCATTTTATGTGGTAACTGACAATGGTCAAATAAGAGATTTTTAAGCTTCAAGCATTAGCTTGAGCCTGTGTGAAACTAAGTCACACAACTTTCTCACTCTGGCCTGAGAAATCATGAGGAATCCAAACAGTCCTTAGAAAAGAAAAACAACCTTCACAGGGTGTTGTTTGTCACCTTGTTGTTTACTTGCAAGAAATGGTCAAGAGGTAGTATTCCTAACTGTCCAATGATGGTGATGTGTTAGTTTCATAACCAATGAGAGTTTTACCTTTTTGGACCTTCTTGGAACTGTCTATAAAAGAAAATCTGAAAGAATAAAACTTGCTCTCTTTTGAAACCAAAGCTAGAAAGTCTGTGTCGTCACTTCACGGTTCCTAATACAGTGTGACAATTTTAGGATAGCCTGCATATAAGACACTGAATTTTTCCTAAACATAATGTCAAAGAGGCAAGGGCCAGGGCCCTGAGTGCACCCACCTTCAATCTTGGATAACTGAGTTAAGGAGTCTAACTTGTCAAGTACAAATACAGCTCTTCCACTGGTAAGAGCTGTTATGAAAAAGCTAGAATCAACTCTCTTCTCAACCCTCCTTTCCTTGTTTTGCTTTGGGAGCTAATTTTAAGCATTCTTTACTGTTGGTCTCCTATGTCTGTACCTGGTCTGATTCCTCCCTGATCTTGACCCGCACCCACTGGCTCAACTTCCTGGCTTGTCCTGGCACCTGCCACCTCACTAAGGTCTTGACAGGTGATCACCAGACTGTGCCTCCAGACCCTCACAGTGAGTCGACTACCATTGAGTTTTACCTGTGGGTGCTGGTTCATAGTGAACATGAGCCAGGTGCCCAAGAAGGCAAATGGTATGTTGGCTTATACCAGAAATAGGGTAGCCAGCAGGACCAGAAGAGTGGTAGTCTTGCTACACTTGGCACTGGTGAGGCCACATCTAGAGTGCTGTGCCTTGTTTTGGACCCCTCACTTCAAAAAAGACATTGAGGTGCTGGAGAGAGAAGTAACAGACTGAGGAAGGGTTTGAAGTCCTGTGAGGAGCGGCTGAGGGAGCTGAGGCTGCTTAGCCTGGAGAAAAGGAGGCTCAGGGGAGACATCACTCTACACTGACCAAAGGAGGCTGGAGTCAGGTGGGAATCGGCCTCTTCTCCCAGGTAGCAAGGAACAGAAAAGAAAATAGCCTCAAGTTGCACTAGGGGAGGTTTATGTCGGATATTAGGAAAAATTTCTTCACTGAAAGGGCTGACATTAAACAGGATGCCCAGGTAAGTAGTGGAGTCGTGATCCCTGGAAGTGTTCCAAAGGTGTATGGATGTAGCATTTAGGAAATGTAGTTTAACAGTGAATACGGCCATGCTGGGTTAACGATTGGACTCAATTACTTAAGAAGTCTTCCAACCTTAACAATTCCAGTACGATCCTATTCCAATCTCCCCCTCCTAGGATGAAGAGAAACAATCACCACATTTCAGCAGGTGTCCCCAGCCAGACTCAGCCAGACTCTTGGGCTCTCACGAAGACGCAGGGCCCACGGTTCGAGCTGCTCTTCCCCCGGCGCCACTCGAGCTGTGCTTATTTTCTTACTGGGACAGAATCCCCGCTCCCGTTCCGCGGCTCCCCCGCTCCCGGGGAGACAGGGCGGGACGCGCCTCGCCCGCCCCTCAGCGCGGCCCCGCCCCGCCCGCCCCGAGCCACCCGCGTGCCGGGCATTTAAAGGGCCCATGGCGGTCGTGCCCGGGTAATGCTGCTGTATGCCCGTTCCCGCCGTGCCGCGCTGCCCCGGGCGCTCCCTGCCGCGGTCCGGGCATTCCCGCAGGACCGCCGGGGCCCGGGGAAGCTTCTGCGGGGGCTCGCGTAGCGCGGGGGGGGGGAGAGCGGTAGGGCCCGGTGCGCGCCGGGGGCAGGCGAGCGGGCGGGCGCTGGATTCTTTGGATCGCGGACGTCGTGGGCGAATAAAACAGGCGGGCGGGCGGTTGCGCTGTTCCTGCCGCGGGGGGCGCGGAGCGGAGCCGCCGCCGGGCCTGGCGCAGATGGAGCCCCGCAGCAGCGGCGTCGCGCCCGGCGGAGTGTCTGTGTCGGCCGTGCTGCCGGCGGGCGGGAGCGGGGAGCGCCTGGGCGGTGCCACCCCCAAGCAGTTCTGCGCCGTGCAGGGGAGGCCTCTCGTCAGCTACGCGGTGTGGGCCATGGAGAGGTAACGAGCCTGGCGCCGCTCGGCTCCCGACCGCGCCCCACGGGCTCCTGCCGGCCCTCGCCGGGCCCTGGAGAGCCACAGGCAGCCCCCGCTGCCCTCGCCTCAGGCCCTGGGCACTAGGGCGGGTCTAGTTTGCATTGCGGTGTCTCTCCGTCCCTCCCCGCCCGGTCAAACCTGGAAGGGAATGAGGTGTGTCTCATGGGCCCCCTCACCTGGGAAGAAGTTCCGGGCGGGAGTTGGGCACTTCCCCCAGCCCAGCCTGGTTCTAGTGCCGCCATCTCGGCTGGCTCTCCGCCCTCCTTCCCTAGCCCCGTCCATGCTTCAAGGCTGTGCCGTATTCCTTGGCTACTGGAGAGCATCTGTTCGAGTCCCCTCAGCCTCGAAGCTCGAGGGTTTGTGTAGCTGCAGTGGCTGCTTTGGTGAGCTATGAGCCCACCGCAGCTATTGGAGACAGTCACAGGACTACTCATCAGCCCTGAAAAGAGAGCTGTTCTGCCATTGCCATTGGAGATGGTCTTTATAATGACCAAAGGCTTTGAAAAGTGATCCACTCCTCATAATAGGATGAGTGAACTCACTGATGTACAGCATTGCATTATGCTCCACTCTTGCCCGTGGTAAAACACCTTGCATCAGCAGGAAATTTGAAGGAAAAATGTTTAAGTTATAGTTGCTGGACTAGAAGCTGATGGTTTATGTAGTGTAAAGGTGCACATGTCACTTTCCCACATTTATGTTGTAGTGATACCACAACGAGAAATGGGTACAAATTGAAAGTTGGGACATTTAGGTTAGGTATTAGGAAGAAATTCTTTACTGGTGGTGAGGAACTGGAACCGGTTTCCCAGGGAGGTTGTGGATGCCCCAGCCCAAGGGCCCAGGTAGCATTCAAGGCCAGGTTGGACAAGGCCTTGAACAATCTGGTCTTGTGGGAAGTGTCCCTGCCCATGGCAGGAGGTTGGGGCTAAATGATCTTTAGGGTGCCTTCTAACCCTTAACATTCTATGATTCTATGTTGGAGCAAAGGATTAAAGTAATGGGATTTCTTAGAAGCCAGGCTTTTCCTTTCCATAAGGCTGTTGAGTTCTAGCTCAACTGTGACTGACAGTTAATATATTACTGTCAAATGTTAACATAATGTAAGTCTTGCTTCTAGTGCCACTTGTAACACCCCAGGTAGGAACAGAGTGTCAAGGGAATTCTGGATGTGTTTCAGTAACCTTTAGATTTTTAGAGAGAATAAATGGGGAGGAGTGGAGATTGGTGAAAGAAATAAAATTGCCAGAATCTCCTAAAGTTCTTAACACATGGAAATCTGTACAACTTCAAAACTGTGACTCTTTTTCCATTCCCACCCAGAGAGGCTTCCCTCAGGTCACTTGTTACTTTATGAAATAAATACTGCTTGTTTTCTTTATTCAATTTTCATTAATTCAGCCATTTCATTAAAGCAGCCAGTTGCAAAGCTAAGCACATCAGTAAGCAAAGCATCCAATCCAAAGCTTGCCACAGCTGTAATTTCTGCCAAAATGTCTTGGGAATCTACAGAGAATAATTATATCCTCACTCAGACCTGGAAAATATTGGAGACCTGGAAAAGAGAACAGAGTGAGGTTTGGGAAGGAAATGTTATGCATCTAAAAAAAAATAAAATATTAATCTTTATTTTTACTGCCAGTAAGCATTGAAAAAATAGCCATACTTTAAGCAACAGTATTATATTTGTCCTAAAGCTGCAGAAAATTAGGTTGATTTTGAGTTGTACACTTCACCCAAATTGATTGTGAGAGTAACAACTTGGAGCATTCGCTTTGGAGCGCAATAACCTCTGCCAGTGCTCTGTCAAGCAGAACTTCCTGCCACCTCTGCTGAACTGGAGTGTTGATTGGTATAGATGTGTATGAGGAGCTGGGAACAGACTCCAAAGCTTGGGATGGCTTTCATTTTCATCTCAACACGTTTACTTCTGGCTCTGAAACTGCAAAGTATGTACCTTGTGCGTATGCAGGCACAAGCATGTAATATTGAGGAACTGCAGTTTATCATGCAATCTACCCATAAATGGCCGATTTTGTGTGCAGCTTGATACTATCCTCTCGTATTATTTAGCTAATATAATTGAATGGGTCATTGAATCATTAGGCTGTAATAACTTCTGTTGAACTGGACATCTTGACTGGCATGGCTATTTTGGAACTTTTCTAACTCTAGAAAAGAGGTAGCAGTGTACAGACAAATACGTGAGCAATTCAAGGATGTGCAGCTGCTCTGCATGTGCTTTACAAAGATCAGTAGCAAAAGATTTTTATGCTGTTCAGCTGAAAGTAGTGAGACTCTTAAATATCAGTGTGGAAAAACCAGCAGATGAGACAAGAACAGACTTGAATGAATAAGCATTGCATCCTGTTGTATAGGATAATAGCATGTAGAACACTGGCCTGCCAGCAATAATCACAGATGATACCCTGAGGAAGAAGAGATGAACAAAACTAGGGTAAGGAGAAATCGCTGGTTTTAATTGCCAATGCAGTGGCACTGATAGGAAGGTCAGGCCCTACCTTCAGGCTAAAATTAAAGTGTGTTAGAAAACTTAAATGTCTCTTTTTCCCATTGGATTTGTTCCTGCTTTTGTTGAACTATGTAAGGCTTTTGCAACAACTTCAACTGACTTAGAATGGCATTCCTTGTTTTTGCTTCTGTAACAACTAGCAGAGTTTTTCTGTCATTTTATTTTTTTTTTCTGTGCATGCATGTTAGAATAGAACCTTTTCAATTCTTTTTCTGAGACAGGGAAGAATCTTAGTTCTGTATGCACATGTGCATGCATATTTTACTAAATCTGTAGAGAGGAGAACAAACTAAGGTAAAGACTGATTTTAAAATCGTTGTGGAACAAATATGCTGCTGGTATTCTTGCTGTGCTCATATTTCACCAGTTGTTGCAAGTACCATGAGTAGTTATAAAAGAGGAAAGCAGAGTTTATATCTTCACTGGCAGGATTAAAATTTTCCATAATGGCTTCAGACAGCTTTGTTTTCTTTATTGTAGTATCTCTAAACAGGGGGAGGTCTCTTAAAATTCCCTGGGGAAGCTCCCAAAGGAGCACCTCTTTGGACGTGTCTTGCACAGTTATTTGCCAAATATTTTTCTCCATTGACTGATGCATATTCACTGGCTTTATAAGTCACAAAGTTACAGTTTTGTTAAATGGATCAACTCTGATACTTCTTTTTGTCCAATAGTCATTAGCTTTTTTTAATTTTTTTTTTAATTTTTTTTTGTTTGCTTTAATAGTTTATGAGCAAAATATACTTACAGCAAATTTTATGGAGGTATCTTTTTTATCATGTCTGACTCATAAGGAGCATTTTATTTCTGGAAAACATTGAATGGTTTCTGTAAATGAGATCCTCCAAACTTTCTTAATATACCATAAAAGCTTCCTTTTTCCATTTTTGTACTGTAAGACATAATTTTTATTAATATATTTTTACATATTATATATATTAATTATTATATATATTAATTATATATATTTATTATATATTAATATATTTTTACATATATCAATTAATAACATTATATATATATAATATATATATCATTATCAATTAATAACAATGCTTTTATGGAGCAAAAAGTTATGCTTGCATTCTGCAACTGGATTTTGTCCTTGTTGCCTCTTTTTCTCATTTGGTTTTTCATAATGTTAGCAAAAGTAATATAATGATTTATCTTGCACCTCTGAAAGTTTCTGTGACAGTGAAAGATCCTGTCTAAAACTGCTAAAGCCATCTCAGCAGTGACTGCCTGGTTCTGGCCTTGTTTTGCTGGTCTCAGTAGGTTATATTGAATAGGGTTTTTTACTGGCAGAGTGAGAGTTGCAAGAGATTGATTAAGCCTTATATCATATTTCAGCACTGGATTCTATGTGAATGAACTGGTAGAGGGTTAAATCTGGGTCACATTTGTACCTCAGCATGCCATTTAGGTGATACAGTTTCAAAGTGGGTTTGTTTCATTTCCTCTGCAGCCTGTGTTTTGAAGAAAGCTTAATCTGTTGCTGAGTTAATGAGCTCGCCTACTTTCAGTTCTTGCTCAGCTAGTAAAAGTGTTTGTACTTCTGAAATTTACTGGAACAATACTATTTTTACTAGGCAGTAAGTCTATATGTAGGTGATGACGAAAAGTATAGCTACAGGAAACAAACATATAGTCCTTTTCTGCCTCATTGTTTGCTTTCTGCTAGTATTGGGCTCCTCCCAAGGCAGTTGTAAAGTGATTGTAACTGGGCTTGTCTTTTTATTTCATTGAGTCAGACTTGATTTTCCACTTTAGAACCTCAGCCTGTGTTGTATGGAAGCACTAGAGTTTTGTGCTGTTAAAGCACATTGCGGTTCAGCACTGTGATCTTTTTCATGCATCGTGCTGATTCTTTCTGAAGGTTGATCCAATATTACAGTTACAAAATTGAAATGGTGTTTGAAATGGTGTTTTAAAACTGGATTTGAGCATGTCCTGAGTAGATTACTTTATTTTATTATTTTATTTCATTACTTTAGTATGACATCTTTCTGAAGGAAAGGATGTGGGAAATCCTTTCTGAAGGAAGTTGAAGGAGGGGAAAAAAGATTAATTTACTACCAGATTGGGTGTATACTGATATCATTCTACTTCTTTAAAGCACTTTGCAACATTTCCATAATCAGATCTTCAGAAGAGCTAGCGAATTTTCGTGGTGCACAGCTTTCATTCATTAAAATCTGTAGCACACTTTACTGGATTAGTACTTTTCATGAGTTTTAGTGGGACAAAACCTAAGCTGTTCTGTGTGTAATCTAGACAATACCTTTATGCTCTTATGGATATGTTACATCCCTAAATGCCAGCTCTAATTATAGAATGTGGGTCCAGAATGAGTTTAAGGAGGACACACTCAAGTTTACAAATGTGTTTATGCAGACACAGGGTGGAGCTGTGACCGCATCCTGTCACTTTTTGGTGTATTGTACCACTGGAGGCCTTGAGCCATTCCACCCCCTCTGTGCAGAGATTTATCGCAGGCTGGCCAGTACTTGTGTTCTCTTCCCTGCTTCTCAGAAGATGCTGTGTACTACCCAGTTGCCTCATAATCTGTTTCATTTGACTCCAGAAATGGCAATGTCAGTGCTCTTCTTACACAGTCACAGTGACTGTGCAGACTGTCCAGTTTCTGGGTACTGTGTAAGGCTACAGTCTTTCTGCAAATTGAAATGCAGAGCTCTTGTTATCATTTAGTGTGAAATAGCTCTTCCTGAATTTTGCTTTCTTAAATGACTGACTCTCAGCATTTAGTGAGTGACAAGTTGAAATAAAACTTGAAACCACATGACTTCAGATTTTACATTTGAGCAACTTCAATATTAAAAGAATGCTGAGGATATGTTGGTTTGGCTGTGTTTTCCTCCTTTGCTAATAGTAAAATGAGCATAAGGACAAATATTTTTCTTTTGAAGAATGCTAATAGCACTTTATTTTAAATAGTTGTTTTCCAATTCTTTGAAATAGTTTTCCATATATTATTATTAATTACCCCCCCCCCCCCCATGACCCCCATACATAAAGTGGAAGATGCTCTGATATTTCACGTAGTTCTAGTTTGTGACACAGATTAATTTGCTTTTGAAGTAAGAAGTTTCCAGGCAATACCTTCTAATGTGTCATTGCAGAAAATCAGTATCTTGAGCCTGTGTATTTCTGAACTGTAAATTTTGTACTTTTATTTTCAAACTGGATATATTTAGTTCTTAGTACCTTTGCTCATCTTCTGTCTGAGATATTAGTTTCAGCAGCTTTACTAGTTTTAGTTGAGACAGTGTATCATACTTGTCTCTCTTTCTCCCTAGTTGGATGTATAAGCTACACATGGGTAATTTTAACATAGTAGTTTTTTTTTAATCATTGCTCATCTGATGAGTTCCTTGTCTGGCATGCTAAAACGCTCTTCTGACATCTATGGAGACCCAGAAAGGGAACACAATTATTTTTTTAATGTTCTCTACATAGGCATGTAGAAAATAGGACACTACAATGGATTTGAATTATGGTGTTTCTGTTGTTTTGAAGTACAGTATGCCACATATGACTAGAATTTGTATTCTTAGATACTTTGACAGAAGTATGATTTCAACCTAGCTTCAGTTGTGATAGGTTTTAATTCTTCTGGTCTGTGGGTCATTCACTTTCCCCCGCACAACCCATCAGTTCTAGAGCTAGACTGATACCAACAGTAAAATCTTGGAGATCTCTAAAAGTGTATTTTTGATATGGTATTCTTTACTAGCACAGCTATGTTTTTACATTTTTTAGCTTCCTACAGCAGAAACCTTTGTGTTTGTAAATATGTATATATTTTTTTAATTACAGGTATAATGTTTCCTGTCAATATTAAAGTGTTACAGTTTTCATTCATTACCATTCTGTCAATTACTGCTCATGCCTGTCTTGATAGTGATCTTTGTTTCAGACTTTTTCTTGATTGTCTTATTCCCTTGTACACTGTGTGCTTCACTGGAACATGGAGTATTCCAGGCCACAGGACTTACCAATTTATTAGAAACTGATTAGCAAACTGTCACAGTTTGATTTAGAAGTTCTGTTTGAAGTTAGGAATAATGCTGGAATAAGAAATGTTTTCAAGGCTTTTGAAGAGTTATCAGAATGTGCCCTTCTGCAAAGTGGTTGTTGGAAGCAAGTCCCTTCCAAAAACTCCAGTGTTATTGGTCTAAATATTCTGTTATAGCCCTCCCTTAAGGAGCAGAGTACAAAAACACGGACTTGAGTTTATTGAGAGGTGCTTTATTTAGCCATCTTGAATTTTTGTTATGAATTTCTCTTTTTCATGTATCTCCACTTTTATTTAGTCATTCATGTCTACTTTCTTTGGTTTTGTACTGATTTTTCTAGGATAAATTGGATATCTGACATTATTGTGGTGGTCTCTCCTGAAAATATTGAAACAATGAAGACTATCATTGAAAAATATGGCCACAAAAGAGTTACAGTAGTAAAAGGTGGAATAACTCGTCACCGGTCAATATTCAATGGACTGAAAGTATTTGCAGAGGATGAATTTTCCTGCCATTTGCTCCAGAAGCCAGAAGTAGTGATTATCCATGACGCTGTGAGGCCTTTTGTTGAAGAAGATATTGTTTCAAAAGTGGTTATGGCTGCTAAAGAACATGGGGTATGTACTATACAGCAATGTAACTCTTTATACGGTACAGCTTAAAATAGTGATTGATAAATTGGAATTTTCTAACAATTTTATTAATGTGTGATGAGGTTTTTTTTAAGTAGAACAGATCCAGATTCCCTATTATGCAGAGACGTCAGGTGGGGGAGGTCGACATTTTTAAATGCTGCAGGTATTATTTTCTAAGAGAATAATTGTTTCCATAGAGACTGTCAGTAAGAGATTGAAGCAATCAGTAATTTGTTAGTTGAAAGGTAGGTTATGTAATGATAGTTTACCTTTTATTACCATGCAGAATTATCACTTAATGCTAGAGCAGTTCTGTTAGTGATTACTAATAATAGCCAAAGAGTGTGTGTACTGCATTGGTTGACTTGCAGACTTTGTGCTTTCATCTCAAACTTATATGCAAATCCTGAATAAGCAGCAAAGGAGCTGTATCTGTATTAATACTAAATTGTTCTAGAAACTGCAAGCATTGCAAACTGCTGGGAAACAGGGTAGGGGGAAGCCTTCAGCTGTAGGTTGGATAGTCTCCTGTTTTAACACTGCATCTGATGACTGATCACAGAAACCAAAAGGATTTCTGAGAAAGTAAGTGGTATATTGTCGTGGTTTTAAACCAGTAACTAAAAAAGATTATTTATTTTTTGCTGTGAGATATGGATTAGAACAAGAGCAAAACAGGCTTAAAACTTAAAAGGAATAAAGAAAGTTTATTAATAAACTACAAGAATAAGAACACCAGAGTAAACTTCTAGAAAACCCTTTTTATCCCCTACTACTCACCATTCCCTTGTTCACATGACAACAGAGACAAAAACTTTGGAACTTTGGTGTTTAAAACAGTCCCAATTCTTGCTAGAGTCTTTTCATCAGTCTTTGTAGAGAAACAGAAGTCTCTTTCTGCTAATCTATGGAGTTTCTCACAAGAAAACTATTTCTGCTATAGTTTTCTATTGCCCTGATGTCAGCTGCCCGGAAATGCTGTTATCAGAGCCCACTCCTCCCATTTCACATCACTCTGAGGTGTGTATGGGCCATGAGTTTAGGGATGTCATTTTAAGGATGAGTTATTCAAAGGCAAAAGTCTTCTTCATCTGTCTCTGTGAACTTCACTAGAAAACAGTTTTCTCAGTGCCCCCCCAAGGCTTCAAATCTTCGCTTCACTCTATTCCAGCACTTCACTGTATCACAATCACTCTACTTTTTACTCAAAATTTACACTTTGAACACTCTATTCCTCCCTATATACTGTCATGAATTAAAGGAGTTTTTTCAAGACCTTGTTGTCCATTTCCATAGCCTCAACAGAAAGGTATTTCAGCTCATAAAGCATCTCCTTATTCTGTACCTTTTCTGAAACTTAATTCTTTTCTTTACGGTCTCTGATAGTTTTATAAAGTCTCTTTACATGTTGATTACTCTCTTTTTCTCTCTCTGGATAAAAGGATTAACCTGCAAGTCTCATCTGGGTAATGAAAAGGGTTAAATCTTGCCCAGGCTTTTGTAGATGGTTCTGTGACTTCTGCCGGTGTAGGAGCTGGAGCTGTCTGCGATAGAAGATTCCTCATGGCTGCTCTGGAGAGTGTGGTCGCTGTTTCAGCTTGCCGCGGGTCAAGAGCTTTTTCCTTTCTTTACTCGGCAGTCTCTGGTGAATTCCGTCACGTCAAAACCTGCAGCTTAGCCAGGAACCGGCCTGGCCCGGCCAGAGCCCGGGGCAAGCCCCGCAGGCCCCATCTCCCGGCCGGGAGCTGCGGCAGGCCCAGCCCAGCCCCCGCCCGGGCCGCATGGCCGGGCAGGGAACGGGAGGCCAGCTGGAGCTCTGTTATCTTTCACAGCCAGGAAACAAAGAGAGCAAGAGAGCTCTGGCTTTACACCTTAAGGTAGGGTTCACAAGTTGATCCCACTTTTCAATGGTCAAAACTGCTGTCAATTCCCAGTAATGACCGATAATTGGTCAGGAGAGAAGATTCCCATCAGTCACCAGCAACTTCAACTTCCTTAGCTCCCAAAACCACCTTAAAGGTAAAGTCACCCCATGACATATATGAAGGGGAAGAGTTGGTGGAAGTTGTGTTATGCAAGTAGAAGGATAGAAGAGGCATGGACTGGCAGTAAGAGGAACTGATAGATGAACTGCCTAAGTCAGAGATATACGAAATCATGACTTAGCCACAGTCTTGTTTGCAAAATGTGTTATCTTTAATTTGTTCTTGAATTCTCCATGAATAATATTCATAATGCTTCCCTGCTTCAAGAACATGGTTTATTTGCTATCATTAGTGATAGCAGATTGTTTGGGTACTAGAAAACTAGGAAAATATACCACTGTTTTCCAGAAAAAGTGGTAGAAGATAATTGACAGATGGTTCACAACTTTGACAGTGGAACAATGAGTCTGAAGAATGAACCGTGGTGTTTCCCCAGTGCTCCTACATCTTCATAGTGTAGAAGGGGAATAAATAGCTTGTTAAAATATTTATTATGAAAATCAAATTATGTCAAGTTTCTCAGAACATTATGTTGCAAATCTTAATATTTTGTACCTCTTCTTAGTAGGCCTGTAGTTTTGTAGATAGGCATAATAAGAAATGGCAATAAAATAGAAACTCTGCACAATAGTTCTCAGTGATCTAGAACATAGGTTTCCAGGTATTGAAACTTAACTTCTGTAAGGTCAAAAACTTGTTAAAATTATTTCTCATATAACACAAAATAACACTTCAGAATTGATTCTCTGCCAAAGACTTTAAAATAAATCCTCTTTGTAAATCAGTTTCAAATGTGCTTCTTTGAGAGTGGTAGAAAAATAGAGTTAACTGTACTGGTTTTGGGTTGAAATGGGAATAACTTTTCTGAATGTGCTTGTGTTGTCTTTGCACGTTAAGGTATATCATATCTCGTTTGAATTTAACTTGTTCACTTTTTCTTGAAAGTTTTGTGATTTTAGTATAATATTTTTCTCCTGATTTTCTTTTTAATTGGATGTAAGGTATTTAAAGTAAAAAACTAGGGGGAACCAAGGCAATCTCTGTGGACCTTCTCAAGTCAGTGTATTTTAGTTCACCTGAACTTCTGACGGGTAAATATTTCATAACCTGGATTACTGAAGTGTCATTTGATCTCAAAAAGTTGATTGTATACATGTATAATAGTCTATTCCATTGCATAACATTTGTCTGAAATGTGTGTAGTGATCATTTGCTCTGTGGTGGCTCTCTTCATTGGCTGAGATGCACTGACTTCATCAAGTCTGGACCATCAGAGAGATGTGTGCTCTAAGTCTTTAAGAGCTTGGTGCTATTGAAATTACCTGACAAAGTAATTGAATTAAGGAACATGAGAAGAATTTTGTTTTATGTAATAAATTGGAAAACTACCAAGAGACAGGTGGCTGTTTCCAGAGAACTACAGAATTCTGAAGAACTAAATGGAAAGCTATGACTTTCTCAAAACTGGTATGCATGGTTTTGAATATCAGAAAAAAATTGATCGAGAGCAGCTATGATGTTTAGTTCTTCCTATGGTCAAATTATTTGCATATCTAAAAGGATGTCAGTTCTTCAATCTTTCAGTACAAAAGGTATTTACTTCCTCTTGCATTATGTAGAAAGGTACAAAACCTAGCAGAAACATTATATTAAATTACTTGTGATAGTAGGGGTAATGCTGTATTGTTATATGTCTGCATACCATATAGATAACATAATTATGAGATGCTTTAATGTTCTTTAAAATGGCAATTGATCAAATAAGTTATTTCACTTCTAGCTGCCAATTGTCAGACAAATAAACTGCTTTATTACACTTACTAATCAGTTTGTTATTTGCCTGTGGGAATAAAAACGTGTACCTTTACCAGAACTAATAAATTATACCTTAAATCCCCCAAACAACTCCTTGATTATGTCAAAATATTACTTTGTAACCAATTAAATTCCATTTATGTTTTTGGGGTAATTTTGCAATTAAAATTATATGTTTCTAGAAACAAATTCTTTACAGCTAGTAAAAACTGGGAAATGTGGAAGCTTCAAGAGGCATCAGTCCAAAGCCTCTAGCAATATATCATTGCCAACATTGCATTTTAAACAACATAACTAAAATAAAAAATGCTTACATGAAAAAGAAATCAGGAAGGTGGGAGGGAACTTGTCAGTTCTGCTATTGAAAGTTTACAAAAAGAAGACACATCCAAAGACTTTTTTTTTCTCTAGTTAACATAAACTAGATTTGAAAGTACAGTATGTTATGTTGAAAGGACTAAGTCAAAATGGCATTCTTAAAAGTTGGTTTCTGAAAACTGTCTAACATCATTACTTTATTCTGAGCTTTAGCAAGGACCTGAACAAAGCTTACATGCCAATACAGCTGTACAGTGCTACAGTCTCTTGGATTCCTAGTCACAGAGGCAGTCAGTCAAAATAATAACCCCAGATGGAAAACACTATGTGTTGTGCTCAGTCTGTTCCTCTCATGCTGCCATTATTGCTTGTACTGTAGTGGAAGGCTGGAGCAGAAGGCATGGACCCCTGTGGATCCTGTTCTTTCACCCACTTATTTTGCTATCTATGCTTGCTGAGTTACATTAGCAAAACTTGGTGGGTGGCAAACCACAAACCACCTCTTTTTGTTCACTGACAGTAAAGGGAGACTTGAGTGGATAAATAAGATGATCTGGTGTGGTGTACTTGAATGAGGACAGAATGCTGGAGTGGTTCTGCCCCCTCTGACCTTTCTTTGCATTTTTTCTCTTGGAACAAATATCTTTTTGTTTTCTTATCTCCTATGGTTTTGCCATATATAGAATATTTTACACATGGTCTTTGTCCTCTTTGTTATATTCAAAGACTGATTTTAGCCATCTGCAAAGGCTGCATCAGTGACGAGACTGTTTTTGATTCATATTTATACACTGGGTCATCTGAAGTTATCCTCTGCCTGTATTCTCAGAAGTTTTGCTTTCATTGTATGCTTGGTGCTTTGTA